TTACTGGAGAGTGATCAACGCCATACGATTCGTGAGCTGGCCCAAGAGACAGGATTAGCGCATATGACTGTGCTTCACATTCTGAATGCCTGGGCATGAGAAAAATTGCATCACGATGTGTTCCGCATGATTTGACGGAAATGCAGAAATGGCTACAATACAACGCCGCTCCTAACCACTTGGAGTGCTATGAGCGCGAAGGAGAGGTTTTCTTACACCATGTCATTACGCTGGATGAGACATGGGCCAAATCGTATGAGCCACAGATGAAACGCCAATAGAATGAGTGGCGTCATTACAGGTCACCACGAAAGTCAAAAGTTCATCAGAACCCCAGCAGTGTGAAAGTTATGATGATTCTCGTGTACGAGTACGACTGTGATGGTGTTGTCCTAACGCATACCGTTCCCCGACAGCAGACTGTCAGTGCCCAGTATTACTATTCATTTTTTGAACACAACCTGCTACGAGCTTTGAGAAAGAAGTGGTGACACTTTCTGCAGAACCCACTCATCATTTTGCAGGACAATGCTCGGCTGCATGCAGCGAAAGCTGTGGCTGATTTGTTCGATCGATGGGGCTGGGAAGTGCTGTACCATCCACCATACTCCCCGGACTTAAGCCCTTGTGACTTCGACTTGATTCCTAAGATGAAGGAACCACTTCGTGGCATTTGCTTCAGAACTGTTCCAGAGATTCTTCAGGCAGTAGACCGCTCCATTGGAACTATCAACACAACAGGCACTGCTAAAGGTATCCTGTGACTTCCACATCGCTAGCAATGGGTTGCACACAGTGCTGGTGACTACATTGAAGGACAGTAAAACTTTGAAATGTGCATCTATTTTGTATCAGTTGTAAAAAAAAAATTGCCACTATTAAAGTTCCAACCTTCGTATTTCTTCCCATGCCTCTTGACTCATAATATGTGAACATTAAGTACGCGAGAAACAGGGAACAGCTTGTATTTTTTTCATATATCCACCTTAATGACTTTATGTGTAAAATCATGTTGCATTACTGTGTATATTTCAGTACAGACTGGATTACATAAATGAAAATCTTAATGATATACTGTATAAGCTACTATGCAAATACCATGTGATGTGGAATATTCTTGCAGGCAGAATCATCTGTTGTATATAGTGACACAAATTTTATAAAAAAAATCTGTTTGACAGCCTCTGTTATATTCTGAATCATTCTGTTGAAAGTAAAGCTTGAGGTGTAAGTATCATTATTCCTACTGGATGTAAGAAGTATAGATTATGAAAATGTTTATTCTGGTAATAAAGCTTGAGTAACATGGTAGCTGTAAGTAAGTCTCTGTACAGAAGACTTTTGTTCTGTGGTATGTGTATTTGGTATCTCAGTAGATATTCAGATGTGTCTGAACAATATTAATGAGAATCAGCAGTGTGTGTAAAAAAGCAAAAATGGTGGAGACAGAGAATATTAAATCATGTTGTCATTACATAATTTTTATTAAGTGGACAATTGCTATGCTGCAGAATTTGTACCACCACGGTCTGCACAACCATTTTTACCCAAAATTCCCCGTGATCTCAAATTGGACTACTTTGTGAAAGTGATCACAAGTGAGGGAAGAGTGATGGTGGGACGAGTCCGATATGTTGGCTTGGTTTCTGGCAGTGCTGAACTGCATGTTGGTGTTGAACTGCCACAAGATACGGGAGATTCAGATGGTGTTTTTCAAGGACACAGGTATTTTGACTGGTGAGTAATTATTTATGTTATTATTATGCCAAAACTAGGAGTTACATGAAGTCATATTTATATTTTATTAAATTATAATATAAAGATGCTGTAATTGTTTATAAATACTGTCTGGAAGGATTTGCATGTTTAGTCATAGACTGAAGTCAGTGACTGTTTTGAGAATAAATTAAATATCTAACTGCATGGAGCTGAGCACTTCTTGAGAAGCTGTCAATTGTGCAGCTACTCGAGAACTTCCCAGCATTTAAGGAACCCGACGGTTCATTACACCATGTTCACAAGAGCCTTCCACTGGTCCCTATCCTGACCCAGATTGATCTAGTCGATACCACTCCATCCTCTCTCTCTATGATGTATTTTAATGTTGTCCACCCACCTACATTTTGATCTACCTAGTTGTCTCTTTCCTTCTGGCTTTCTCACCAATATCCTACATGCATCCCTCTTTGGCCCATTCGTGCTACATGCCCAGCCCATCTCATTCTCCTTAACTTGATCATTCTAATTATATTTGGCAAAGAGTACAGGCTATGAAGCTCCTCATTATGCAGGTTTGTCAAATTTTCCATCACTTCTTCTCTTAGTCCAAATATTTCTCCTCAGCACCCTGTTTTCAAACACCCTCAAGCTGTGTTTTTTTCCTCAATGTCTGAGGCCAAGTCTCACATCGATACAGAACCACAGGAAGAATTATAGTTCTTTGTATTCTAATGTTCATGTTTTTAAAAGAGCAGATGAATCAAAATTTTGATTTGTTGCTGTCAATCCCAATTAGCTTAACCTTGCCACATTTTCGAAATATCTCTGAGCTATATTGGTGTCATCATTTTGCTCTGCATTCTGGTGACAAGACAGCAACACATACTTAGTTTTCTCTGTGTTTACTTCTAGACCAGCTCCTTACTAGTGTCAGTTAAAGTTTCCGTGTCTTTCTTTATGGTATATATGTGTGTTTTGAGAGTATAAAAATTTTATAAATTAAAATGGTACAGAAATTACAACTTTGTACTACAAAATATTAAACTTTGGGTGTCAGATTTGTTAGCATATTACCTAATCTTTTCTGTACATACTGTTCATAGTTTATTGAAATTTGGAAATGAGGCATCAGATCCAATAGAATTAAGATACTCTTTGATATCATTTCAGTTAACATTCACATGTATTTGTACATATTTATTTTTAAGTGTGTAAGTGCTCTTTGCTTCTTTTTACCCATGATATTTATAAGATGTATCAAATAGCAGAAACAGCAACCAGAATAATGAGACTGGAAAAGTTGTACTCTGTAGTGTATTACACATAGTTACCAACATGATTCTCTGAAATTCAGAAACATAGGAATAATGAAATCCAAGTTAGTGGAAGTTTCCTATATAAAATTTCAACAAAATATGCTAGAGGGTTATGGGATGCATGGAAAAGTCTGTGTATGACTTTATGTAAACCAGGCTTTGTTATGGATCAGTGTGGCTGATTTAAACTGCCCAGAAACTTTTAGTGGAAGTCTCAGATATCAGATTTTAAGAAAATCTGTTCAGCAGTCAGATGCTGGTTCAGGGTCACAGACAGACATGACCACCACATAAGGCTTTCTTTACTTTGTAAAGAACTTCTAATTGATTTTGACAGGAAACACATGAATGTGATTTTCCTAGCTCACATATATGACGAACACTTACTATTGTAACACATTCATCTTGTGTGGGTGTGGGCCTTAGTCTCTCACCCTGAATGAAAGAACTGGACTGAGAGTTTTTGAGAACAGAGAAAAGTATTTGATGAAAAATAGAGAAAGTAACAAGAAAGTAGAGAAAGTATACTTAATAGAAGAGCTTCATAATTTGTGCTCTTCACAAAATATTGTAGGAGGATGAGATGGGCAGGACATACGACATGCATAAGAAGATATAACATGCATATAAACATTAGCAAGTAAACATGAAGGGGACAGACTTCTTGATAGATGTATATTTAGATGAAAGTGTAATATTAAAAGTGATCGAAAAGAAATTTGGGTAGTTAAGAATAGGTCCAGCGGCAAGAGTTTCAAATGATGGGAAGTCATAATGTTTTAATTATCACCATGAGAAAATCATAATTCCAAAATATCGTTCTCTATAGGAGATAGCCCATTTCCTGAGCTTGCCAAACAATCACATTTTCCTGTGCCAAGTAGGCAGATGGAGCCGCTGGAAGGGGCAGAAGCAAAATATAGAAGCTATTGTTCATGAGGTCCATATTAGCCATGGGTCGTTTTTCAAGATCATCCATGATGAGTTACACATGACAAAGGTTGCTGCGTGTTGGGTGCCACAATTGTTGACACCAGTTCAAAACCAGCAACAGATAAATGTGGCAAAGAAACTTTTGCAGTTGTGTCAAGACGAAAAGGTGAAATTTTTTAAGCGCCTGATCGTGATGGATGAATGTTGGGTCTATCATTATGACCCAGAAACCAGGAAATGAGCAAGCAGTGGAAACATGCAGACTCGCCGCCACCAAAGAAGGCCAAATCCCAGCCGTCGTCAGGAAAGGTGATGTTGAGTGTGTTCAGGAATCGATGGGGTGTCATCATGACTGAATACATGCAAAAGGGCATCACCATCACTGGCAAATACTACTGGAACCTTCTGAGAAAATTACGGGAGGAAATCAAGAAAAGGCGACACGGAATGCTGGGAAAAGGTGTGCAACTTCTTCATGGCAACGTGACGGCTCATGCTACGACAACACTTGCAGCCAGTTTTGGATATGAAATTCTCCCCCATCCACCATATTCAGAGAGATCTGGCACTGAGCGACTTCTTCCTCTTTCCATGGCTAAAGAAGCCGCTTCGTGGTGAATGATTCCAAGACAATGACATCATTTCTGCAGTGGAGGACTTCTAAACAGTGAAAATGAGACATTCTCTGATCAAGGTATCCGGCAGTTAATACATCTTTGGGGAAAATACGTGGCCTTGCAGGGGGCATATGTAGAGAGGGACACACACATACAGTTTCTTGCACCTGTGTCTCTGTTTCTTCTGGGTGATAATTAAAATTTTATAACTTCCCCACTTAAAATGCAGGAAGTGCCCTAATTGTTTGAGCAACTAGCAAGTTCCCAAGAAGGAAGTTGCTTCATGGAGTTGGCTAAATAGAAGTGTAGGCTTGTTTTATATAGAGCTGCCCTTAGAACACTGATGTAATTCGCTGTTGAATAAACCATGTTGCTTGCTGGGGTTTTTTTTTAATGTGACAAAATGTGGGAAGGTTAACTTGCTTTCCATGTACAAGAGCGCTGTTTCTTGTCTTCCAGGAGACAGCATAGAGAGATTGCACCATGTTGTGTGACAGCTGTTGGAAGAGTAATAAATTCTTCTTAGAAACACAAAGTGCTCAGGACTTTTCCACATGAGATGCATGCTTGCAGCAAGTCTGATATTATTGTCACGTGTATGAGTGACTATAGGTGGGGTTTGGATTTGTGACTTGATTTATTGCCCACTTATACACTCATGACTTGTGACTACACTTTACAGATCACTGACACACACAGGCTAGTGTCCTCAGTCTATTGCAGTCTCCACTAGCCTTTTCCTGGCAACAGATTTTAACATAGGAGGGAACGTGTTCATTTGCCATTGTTACCTAGTAGCAGATCTACATGCTACAGTAGTTTCTGTGTAGAGCAGAGTCTGTGAATATTTATTGTACTCTTTTAGGACAGCTTTTATAACAGATTTCACTATACCTGGCCCCAGTGTTTCCATTTGATACAGAATATGTGGGTTACAGTGACCCTGACCGGGCAGTGTTTGTACCCTTCAAGAAAGTGGTCATGGCCTGGAGCATCTGAGTCCAAAGTCTCGCACTTGACGTGACAGCAACAACTTGGATCATGCCTGTGTTACACATTCCCTGCATCAGGCACCTGGACACCCTATCAGTATGTATTTCTGTATCATGTTTATTTTATTTTATTTTGGTAATGTTAAATTTATTTACATTATGAATAATGTATATTAATCCAAATATGTACTGTAATGTACCTTTCCTGAATGTTCCTATTACAGTTCTCTTATTTGATGACACCTGAAGTACAACATGTAAAATATATTTATGTATATTATTTTAGTATTTCTTAATTATTTCCTTTTTAGTTGTTACTGTGCTGTGACACACAGTTTGACCCAACCAAGACCAAAGGTATATTCTTTAGAAAACATATTTTGTGATATGGTGCTTATTTCAATGTGATAGAGGCTGTCATATCCCCTGGTGGCACTCGTCCTATCTTTCATGTACATTTTGTACCCGTGTAACCAGTATGGTTGTAACAGTCAATTCATTTTAAAACATAAGGAGAAAATTCTCATTCTGTTCACTTATGACATAGGTGAATTGAACAGTTTAGTGTAGAATAGGAGAAAACAGTGTATGGAACTTAAAGTGCAATAATCATTTTGGGCATTGTTATAATTGTTTGATGTTTATTGGAGGATATTGATGTATATCAATAATCAATTGCATTGTACTACAGGGTGATCATAAAGCACTGTACCCAACAGCATTGGTCTTCCTGATGAAAGTTGGGTTTGATATTAATTTTTGAACATAGTACATAGGCTATGCACTGTGTGTGGATAATATTATACTGCAGCATCCCTTTGCACTGTGTGTTCTAAATTAGGACTTGCACTTCTCATCATCCCTGTGCAACTTCATCAAAGTATTAAAATTCACACTTCAAAAGCATTTGTCTCTTTTGCATATTTGAAGACTACATGTTTCAGCCCAACTAGCCATCATCAGATGTACAAGTTCTAGGGGAAACTGCTGCCCCATTGCTACACTTTGCATTTTAAAGGTGTAAAATACTGTCACGTGTTGGGTATATAACGCGACAAGTAACTTCACGCCGTATTGGATATAGCGAATTTTATTTCACACTTGCTCTTACAATCTCACACTTACTGCCATCGGCAGTATCACAAATACCAGACTGCAATTAACTGGTTACTCTTTCTCTAGTAACTGGCTCAATCCTCACTGTCTAATCACTCACTACTAACTGACTGACTGACTCTTGAATAGTCTTCGCTGCTCCTTATTTAGCTTCGTTACGGACAACCCAGAAAACAGTTATGTAATAGGCACCACTGTTGCGTAACGTCATGTTTGCCGATAGCCTAGCAACGCTGTCGGGTGTTGTTTACTGCAGCATAGCAACTGCGGCATCTCGTGTTACATCACTGCGGCAATGGTTGCCTGGCACCGCCGCTCCTCTGCCACGTCACCGCAGGGAGGGGAGTGTCTACCGAGTATTGCACACTGATGGACGGAGTGGGAGTATGTGACGTCACTCGTGAGATCACAGAGTTCACGCAACCCCCACCTCCCGCTACGCCATTTAAAAAAAAAATTAAATATGATGCCATAACTGTTTTGTTGTGTATATAGCCAGTTGTGCCGACACATGTGGTTTTTTAATAAGCGGAAGAGGCCAGTGCTTTTGAAGTATGAATTTTAATATGTCAGAGAAGTTTTACAGGGATGGTGAGAAGTACATGTGCATATTTACAATTGTGTGTGGAAGTGTTATGAAAACAGCATCTGTTCTATATCTTACATCAGTTCATTTTTAATGAAATATTAAGCAAAGAATTTCAGTAACCTTGTATCTGTAATAAAGCACTTCTAACTATGAGGGTTGTTATGATTGAAGGAGTAGAGACTGTTAAGAACCGCCATTATTTGTCTGGTGGACTGAAAGTAAAACATCCCAGAAAACATTCATGTTGCTCTCACGTAAGACTGATTGTTATCAAATACATTAAACAGGAGCTCCCAGATTTCGTTTTCATGAGGAGTTCAACAGTACAATTTGAGATGCCTACATTTGCATATGATTCAGATGTATTAAACGTATACCCAGGTTACACTACTTTTGTTGTTATATGAGATTTGAAGTTTTCATGGCAGCAGAGATTCATATTGTGCTCTCTTGAAGTATGAGACTGTAGTTTGGAAGTGGGTACCAGCACTTTAGAGCAGTGCACTGCCTCCGTTTACAGGGTAGAAGATGTACATGGTATGTTTGCCCATAACGTTGGCACTCCCTAACCAGACCACACTCAACACAGAAGACCACATTATGAATACTTCTGTTGATATTTCAAGTCTCCTAAACTTGCAAAATATAGTGAATTGGAACTTTTGAAATGTTCAGTTGTGTTTGCTGTTTGGTGTATTGAAGGATGTGTCAGCTTCGTATGTTGTATAATCTTACCGAAAATAATGAGACATTAGCAGAGGAGTGTGGGAAGGTGTACATTGGACAGACTGTTCTGTGGAGACCGAGGTTACAGAATATCACCATCACATCTATTGGCTGGAGAAGTCAACCATGGTGGAATACAGCATCACTGTGGGTCATTGTATTCTGCTTAACAACAACAGTATCGTGATCAAGAAGTCCAGGCACAGGGACCAGCTCATAATGGAAGAGACAGAGACTAATCCCCACCCTAACAATGTGATCAGGGAGGATGGGTTCTCCCTGAGCAGGGTGTGGAAGCCTGTAATTCACTCAGCGAAGGAAAGGAAGAAAAAGGCTTTTCTAAGCACAAGTTAGTTACTTACTCTTTAAATGATTCTACCCTCCCCAGACTTTGAAAAAAGAGCTGACTTCTCACTTCCCACTTCCCATCCATAGGGAGCCCGAAAAGGATGGTCCCTTTCCAGTTCTCAATTTTAAAATTTCCCTCAAGTGAGAGAAACTTACAGGGGCTCAGGAAATGGCTCTTTTGTCATAATTTCATGTTTCCTCTTGATGACACTGTTGTACCCCAGGAAAGGGCTGTTTTTTCTCACATTCCAGTTTCTTACTTGTGACAGGAAAAGTAGTGTGCTCCCTTAAACAACCTTTTACTCCTACCCACAATTCCTGTTGGCCCAGATTGAACTCCATTTTCTTACTCCCATCCCTTGGGCCTCAGTCACCACTGTCTTTGCAGTCTGCCTATGTAACTGAACCACTTCCTCAGTCTACACACTTCACCCCAACAGATGGCAGCAGCATGTTCCTTGAGAATGGTAGTATCTGCCTACAAGACTACATGGTGTCACAAGCCAGAAGACCACAATCTGAACATTCATAGCTACGAAACATACAAGATAATGTTTATGTGAGTGGTGTTCCATAGCTCATTTGTTACGGTGGCTGGCTATTCAACAGATCCACTATGGTAGTAGTTTACACAATGGAACCCCCATTTAGCATCACTAAGTTTTAGGTTTTCCCACATTCACCCTTCAATTTTAATGATCCCAAGTCAATAAACTAAGCATTAAATTACTTCTCTAAAAGATTTTCCTCAGTTCATTGTTCAAGTCCACTGGTCCCAGAAGAAACCTTAAATAGAATTTCACTGTACTGAGTTTTAGCTATCACGTGTGTGTTGTGTCATATATAATTTTTTTTTTAATTTATATTAGAAATGAGGATACAGCTATCATCTGATACTTGAAGGAAATGCATATCAGTCATTAGACCATTTCATTTTGAAATAAAATCAAAATAATTTGTAAGAACCTCATTATTTTGCATGTCAAATTACAGTACATCTAAGAAAAACCGTCCTCAGTGTGGATGTATCCTCCCTCTTGTTGGAGGATGTATTGTATTTGAATGATAAATTCCATAATATACGAGGGTTGAAACTTTAATAGTGGCAACTATTTACAACTGATACAGAATGGATGCGTGTTTCGAAGTTTTACTGTCCTTCAATGTAGTCACCAGCATTGTGTACAACCCATTGCCAGTGATGTGGAAGTCATAGGATGCCTTTACCTTTTTTGATAGTTCGAATGGAGAGGTCTGCTGCCTGAAGAATCTCTGGAACAGTTCTGAAGTGGACGCCATGAAGTGATTCCTTCATCTCAGGAATCAAGTTGAAGTCACAAGGGCTTAAGTCCAGGGAGTATGGTGGATGGTACAGCACTTCCCAGCCCCATTGATCAAACAAATCAGCCACAGCTTGCCATTTCTGCATTTCCGTCAAATCATGCAGAACCCATCGTGATGCAATTTTTCTCATGCCCAGGCATTCGTTCAGAATGTGAAGCACAGTCGTATGCGGTAATCCTGTCTCTTGGGCCAGCTCACGAATTGTATGGCGTCGATCACTCTCCAGTAATGTGGAAAGAGCATACAATTCTTCTTCACTGACACTAGGATGACCTGGCCGACGCATGTCTGCCACATTTTGGTGTCCCTCGTTGAAGGCTTTTACCCACCCTGCCACTGTTCTGTAAGGCAATGCAGATTCCCCGCAAGCCTCTTGAAGACCTTGATGACACTGTCGTGCTGTACGGCCTCTGGCACATTTAATCTTTATCCAACTCCTTTGTTCCTGTTTCAAAAACATCGTGACAACACTGCATTAGACCGCCAGCCAGCACGAGGCTCTGTTCTTCTCGTCACTGGGCATGAGCATGATGTGGGAAGGGGGAGTCCATTTGCTCTGAGGTAAGGTAAGTATGTAACTAACGTGTGGTATAAGCGACATTATTTGGTTCGTTGCATGGCGTCTCTACAGCAGTGTTGCCACTATTAAAGTTCCAACCCTCATAGCTTGCAAAGTTTTGGCAGAGATTGAAAATATCTCTTGTTATATTGCCTCTTCCAAATCACTTGCATTGTTTAATATTAAAAATTTTGTCCTTGAGATATCTATAAAAAGTGACATGGGTTTAAATTTGAACAGAACATCTGCTTTTAACATAAGGAAATCTGTGTTGGATTTGAGGTTCTCACAGTGGTGACTGTGAAGAGTGTGATAATTTGGGTGTAATGCTGTATAGTTCTTTACAAACCAGAAGATGGTATGCCTTATTATGAGGAAACCTGAGAACATTCTGAGTCAAAAAATGGAACACAGT